GACGTACTTCATACAAATTTTCAAAAACTATGAAAAGAAAATATATCGTTTTCATATGTGAGTAGCAGTCATAACGTTAGAATGCGACTGAAAATTTATTGGTTTCAATTATAAGTTGTGTGCTATGAATTTTTTCACTTGATTATGAATAAATAAATCTTGTCATAATGTATAATAAAAAGTCTGGTTACAACTATTTTTGGGAAAAATTAGAAGAATATTTCTTTGACTTAAAAGGAATACTTTTTTGTACTTATCACTACTACTTTTTTAGAAGTCACAGGAATTCTTTTGAATTTAGGGGTACTTTTTCGGATATAACGGTACTTTTTTGGACTTAGGGATATTTGTTTAGGACTTGCAGGCACCTTTTTTGACTTCACTTGATGGTGAATAAAATAATTTTCTATTTATTAATCGGAACAAAAATCCTGTTGCAATTATTTAAAAAAAAAACTGAGTGGATGTTGGTTTCAGTGAGATATATCATTTGATTTTACGATCGCGTTAATCAAATGTGTCCATCGTATTGAGGGATTTTCAATGCAAAGCGTACTATTATCATAAGCCTCCACTTGCCCTATTGGATTTATAACACCTGGAAGGGTTTCACTTGGACTCACTTTTTATTATACCGATTGCTTTAAATGCATTCTTTGAATCGACGTAAGTATATCCGTCTATCCGTCTATCCGTCTAATATTTGTCCATATTTTGATAAAATTAAAACGCTTGTTGAAAATGGACTGGATCGGATATATATAAAACATATACAAAAAAATTGCTCTTTTCAAAATTCCTCAATGATAAGTTCCAAAATAGTTTTGAATTCACTCCCATATGATTTTCTTGTGAAAAAGAACTCTAAAAATCTTATTTTTTAATTATTTCAAGTGAGAATTCGTCCGTAGTAGTAATTGCTATCATAAAAAGTATGTGATTACTTGGAAGCAACATATAGTTTTTTATCAGAAAACTAACGAAGAGTAGTAAAGTCGTTAAAGGTATCTCAAAATCGGCCTTACTCGACTCTAATGCTCTTACTTGTTGTACCCTGCACCGCTTGTGGTACAAGTGTATATTAAGTGTACATTATTGCGAAGTAAATGTATATGCTTTTCAAAATACTTTTCATGGCTTTCTTGGCAACAAAATTTATAAATCAGATTTTTATTTATTTATTTAGATTAACAAGAGAAAGAAATTCCGCACTCTTTAGTGTATATGAACACAATAAATGGTGAATACCAAATATTGGCGTTTTTTGTCTAGACATATTTTAGGTCTTCTGTGCCCACGCATTTTTATGTTCAACCTAAAAGTAGCAATTTCTGAGGTATTCCCACCATTTCATCTTTTTTCGACAAAAATCGGTAAGTATTGTTCGCCAGATCTATGAACCAAACAAAAAGATAAAAATTCAGTGAAAAAGTGATTTGAGGATCAGTTAATTGTGACCCATCGAAATTGTAGCAGAAATCTATGTAAGTGACGTTATCCCTTTTTTTAGTTGTCGTTAACACGATTATTCCTGGACTTCTTTAAAGAAGAAAAAGCTTAACAGCTCTTTTAAAACCTTTTATCCTTATGTCATCTCTCTTCAATATATTGTTTCACTCTTTTTGTGTTTTGTGTTTCCCTTGTTTTTTGTCATTTTCAATTTAGCAGCCTTGAGTTGTACTAATGATTATTTACGTTCTGTTAGTTTGCTTTTCGTTTTTTTTCATTTAGTTTGTGCATACTTTTAGGCAATGCTTTTTCATGCAGTTACTCAGGATTATATTTGTTACGTTACAATAAATTGTTTATTTTTAAATAATAACTTAAAGGAGGAGGACTTGAATTGCAGGACTACCTTTGATTGCTTTTTCTGAGATGTGAAAATTAAAAATATATCAAGATACTTTTAATGGATTGCTTAAAAAATGTTTTTCGTTCCCTCGCTCACATAATTTTTAAATCCTTCTGACTTCCTTCTTTGCCATTTATATTAAACTCTGCCTATCTCCTGCATTGACCTAAATTTTTCTCATTGCAGTTATGAGGCGCATCCCGTTCTTTATTAAACTTCTACACAATTACTAATGAACCTGTGGTTAAATTGCACTGTCCCTTCAAGGTGTTATATATGTATTCCTATCACTTTTAAGCATTGTAATTGCCTTTCGAAAGTGTGTGTGTTGGGCGGTCAACATGGATTTTCAAAACATACATCTATAAGCTTGAAATCAAGGTTTTAAAAGCTCTTCTAATCTGCCCAAAACTTTCCGAACTTCTTGAACATATAATTTTCTAGTGATAGCGAAACATGGATATGCTTTTCATATGATTTTAAGATAAGAGATTTTATAACCGAATACTATTTAAAAATATAATAAAAGCCTAATTTTTACAACTTAGAAAAGAGAAGCATGATTTTATTACTGATCAAATGAATAGGAGAATAACGAAAAACGTACGAGGCCGACCATTGAATGCTGAACATAGCTTCCTCTAATAAAATTCGCGGTTATTAATTTGGTGATAAAATAAAGGAATTATGTCTGGTGAGCATGAACTCCCTTCATGAGACCTCTTATATAGGAGGGAAACTACATCGCGTAGTGACGTCATCCACATTTCTCGAAATTAGTTTTCTTGTTAAAAATCTTATTGTTCTTCATACATTTCCCTTATAAAATGCTAAAAATTTCACGCGAATCCTTATATCGAAGAAGTTTCGAAACATTAGGCCAAAATAAGAGATAGTAAAATATCAGGAATCTTTTGTATTAATAGCTTGCTCTTTCAACCTCATTGTTTGTTTGTATGCGTAAATTACAAAACGAGGGCAACACCGAAGTCTGTGCTGAGCAACGTGAAAAATTGAATAAAAATCAATGAGCAACATGAAAAATTGAATAATTGTGCTTTTAAGTGAATACCCAGTGCAATAACGAAGCGTTTTTCTTAGTCTCCTCTGCACAGGCACTCTCTATATGTTTGTTGCACGCAGTGTAATAATACTCTGTAACGCATTCGACAAGAAAACCATCAAACCTTGAAACTAGGATAAAAAAGAAATTAATGGTATAATAAACATATTATATATAAATATATATATATAATCTGTAGGTGCTTGCTTCTTGTAAACATAGTTTTTAACACGTGGAAAAACAAACACATAGACCCTTAGACCTTTACTATTCGCGACAATTCACAGAGGAGACCCTTACTAAGTCCTCGCTGCACATTGGCCGATAAAATCTGTTTATTGGCGACAGTTTAAAATAAATGCTTTTTTTTCTTGCTCTGTTCAAAAGTCTCAAATCAAAGAAGTTTTTTAGTTTATTATTATTGTAAAGTTTTAAAGGGATAAGATCTTCTTGCATTTCGTGGAACCTGAAATCCTTGAGTTAATTTATCGTTCCACGATTTTTTAGCTTAAAAAAGAAAAAAATAAGTTTTAAAATGCATACATCCGCACAAAGCGAAATTGTTGTTCTTGCTGTATTTATTGTTATTAATTTATTTACCTGTAATGGTTATTATTTCTCTTTCTGGACGAGAACATAAATTTATATGTTATTCAATAGGAAGTAAAATGATTTAATGTAAAAAGGAGAAAGTTTCTTACAGTCTACAGGGTAACCTTAAATTAATAATGAAAACTTCTGTTAGTGAACAGAGTGTAAACCAGAAATGAATATCAAATTAAATGTTGTGGCAATGTTGATTACCATAGGGCAGCTATAAATTATTATGCTGAATGGACTGAATGTTAATAAACTTTCTGTACAACTTCTTACCGTTCTGCTGCATCACATGTATAAGTTCATTCATAGTGTTCAAATATACTATATGTACATAAATATTCGTGCTTATGTTCCATTCCATTATTGCACTTGTTAAAAAATTCTGCAGGCATTGAAATTTATAAATTTATATATAAATGCCGTTTGCAACTTATAAATTCAAGTTCGACCCTAACTAAGTATGTAGAACACATTTAGACAAATTGGACAAAAATATTGGTTATACCTTTGGCAACGCATGCTCCGGAAGTTCCGTTTTTATATAGCGCAATGGCAAGAAACAATGAAACATTTAGGCTGCACCACAAGCCCAAAAGAGGTGGTTTTCTGACATTTTTTTTTTTTTTTTTTGATGAAGAGAAAGGTAATGGAATAATAATATCATGTCTTGTGTCATTAGTCGTTATTAGGTTTTTGTACACTGTTCCGTACTAATTAGGAGAATGCACTGTAACAGGCTAAAATAGGATAGGTTTTTTGGCAAAGATAACGCTATTTGAGAACGTTTCTAAGCATTCCTTTAAGCAATAGAGAGAAAAAATTACATTAATTGAATATTAAAAAAATTGCAACATCGGAGCTGTTCCTGGGCACTCTCGTCTTAAGAAGCTCTGAGATACTCGGTATCGAGTGCTTTAAAGAATGTCTTGTACTATACCTCATTCCTGTTGCGCAGCTTTCAAATCAACTGATTATAATAAATTGTTATTTTCGAAAAGTGATGCAAGCCACCAAACATTTTTTTAAAGTTCAACTATTCGTGCAAAGCGAAGCTAAAGCTAAAGCAAAATTGCGAACCTTCTCCGTCGAGCGCTATTCGAAGACAAAGGCTTTATGACACCTTTTATATTACTAGGGAAATATTTAATAGTCCAGATGGCTGTTGGAATTCGCTTACCTGTTATGATTCATTTTAGTTTTCGAGCAAGTTCAGAGTGCGCTTCTTCTTGAATCATCTTTTTCGACTAAAGGGAAGCTACGATCTCTGACCTCGCATCCAATTGAAATATTTAGTCGTAAGTAAGTTATTGAAATTTTGATGAATTTCCCAAGCTTTTGTACGAGAGTTAGTACATCAAGTAAAGATACTATAAAATCATTGGACCATTTTATGTTTTTTGCTTGAACAAAAGTTTTTTATTCTCATAGAAAATAAACTTATGTAAAATAATTCTTTTATATAAAAAATGTCTCCTAAGTTAAGACTTATTTCTTCTTCTTTTTCCCTGACCTCTGCGCTTTTGACTTCTTTCCTGCCGCAGCCTTTGAATATTAGTAAAAAAAAAAAAAAATTATATTTTTTATTATATAACTAAAGAGTATTGACCTCAATCGAGTTCAAACTTACTTTCAATTTTTCGGCTTCCTCTCGTTCCTTTCTTTCCTGTGCTTTCAATTCACGTATACGCATTGCCTCAATTTCCTCGTGAAATCGAGCAATTTGCTCTTGCTGATAACGCTGCTGATCCTTTAGCTTTTCGATTTGTATGCGCTTGAGGTTTAATTTGTTTTCGGCTTTCTCGTAGTCCGCGTCATAGTTTGCTTGCATAGTCTGAATATTTCTTTTCAATTTCTCGTTCATCGTGTAGAAGAAATCCATGCAGCTGCTACTGCAACGTTCCTCGTCTAGAGTTTGACTCATGAACTTGTTAATGCTCGAATTGAAATAATTTTGCATGCTATCCATTTTTAGTTGGGTCTGATGTAACTTGGTTCTATACCAATTCAATTGATAGCGTCTTTCGATCGGATCCCATACTTAAAAGTAGCGAAATTTTTATAAAAAATATCGGGCTTCGAGGCTTCTATTTGTCTATCATGTTTTTTTTATTACTTACAGTGACTGTACAGTATCTTGGTCTCCAAATTCGTCTTCAAAGCCACGTGACTTTGCCGATGTTGCCTCTGACTCATTAGTAATTGCGCGTTAAACAATTGAGTAAATACACTTTTATTTTTTTTGTATTCATTTTCTATATTCTGCTGTTTCTTTAACAATTCCCGAGCATCTCTGCATTGTTAGGCCGATTCGCCACAAAATAGATTTGAATGAAACGTAAGCGTAATATGATTGAATACTTACAGAATTGGTTTTTCAGTGCTTGCTTCTATATCCAAACTTTGATCAGACATTTCGGAATATAGGCCATCGAATACGAGCTTTACTAATTTAAGTAATTCTTTTAAATCGCATCGAAATTTATAGTTATCCAAGCAATTTTCCGAAAATTTTTTCAAAACTTCAATAAAAACAAAATTACGTAATGTACGACGTTCCACGAACTTATCCAGCGACCAACTAAAAATTCCATGAGCTAATTCTTCGTCCGGCTCTTTCTCATTGGCATTGCACTTATTCGTTTTGTTCAAAATGCTCAATTGTTGGCGAAATATTATCTCAACACGTTCAACAGCGAAAAATTTCAAATAACCGAAACGTAAGCGTTGATTAAGTAATTTAAAAAACCATTCTATTTTTAGGCGATCGAGGTGGGACCCTTCTCTCAGCTCCTGCCGAAATACATCGAAATCATAATCGGACTTTGGTCGCTTCCGTGTACTACAAGGACCCGCTATTACGTGCCCCATTTACCGCTAAATATGTTAGATATTATAAAACTACACTACTGAAAAGGGGCTCAATAAAATTTCTAAACTCCCAATACTGATATTTCTTGTATTGAAAATATTCTGAAAACTATATGAAAACTATAGGAAAAAAAAGGACTGAAATGAAATAATGAATATTGAAAAGCTTTCGAAAGTTAAATGACAGACAGCAAATACAAATACTACAAGCATTGGGGAAAATCAATTCTATTACTTGTTCAAAATCGGTTTCGAGATGTTCGTCATTCAATTGCCTTTCAAGAAACTTGATTCTTTGTTGCTCTGTCGCATTGAAACCGTATTCTACAGAGCCTGTACTCTTATTGTCGCGGCATAGTTTGGGTAACACTCTTCCCTCTCTTTCTTTATTTGTTAATTCCGAATAGAATTCAGGAAAGTTATATAAAGAAAAACTCCACCAAATTCTGGTTGATTTAGGTACACGAAACATGTCTACCTAACCCAATAAGTTTCTTAACGTTTGGATAGTTCAATTTATCATCGGGCTATTAATAGGACTACGATGGCATATTGGTGACCTAACTCTCCCCATTTATCCATTTAATAGTTTAGATGGGCTTATTGATATCGCCCAGGATTTCGATGTTACTCAGTTAAATCACATTGTCAACGTGGACCGCATACTTTTCCATCTTATCGAGGAGAGTGCTAAGCAAGTTCTTCATCCGCAACCGCACAGTTGAGATAATCATGAATGACGTTCGTTCTATACAGTCTTCTGTCATTTAGAAGGTTTCGTAAGAACACATTTTTCTACTAAAGAGTTGCTTCAGTTAGTTGCTATTTTGCCTAAGGGACAATAGTAATCCATAGATCTTCTTTTTTGTACCCATCACGCATCAAAGAGAAAGGAGTACATTCATTTTGTGGAAACGTTCGCAACAACCGGAAGTGAGCTTCAGAAACATTCTCTCGTTTGCAAAAACGGATTTGTCGACTTCAAATCTGGTAGAAATTGTAGAAGCTCTTGCACGCAATTTCGTATTAAAAATGGACCGAGAAAATGAGCCTCGTGTGATGAGTGCGAACGCCTCGCTCGCACTCAAATATAATTTTCTAACAATACTTGTTGCATTTATTTAACTCGCGTATCCGACGAGCAGCCGAAGCCGAGGAATCTCGACTAGCAAGTCAATGATCGTGGGTTCGAATCTCAAGCGCGATAGAGTTTTTAATAAAAGCCGATAGCCTTAGATGCTAGTGCTCTTAAGAGTTTAGTCTTAAAATTTATTTCTCTGGCGAAATTAATAATAATAATAATAATAATAATATTTAAATCGCTTATTTTTATTATAAGAAACTGGGTACGGGTACTGGGTATAAAAATTATAGAGCTAACGAATAGTCATTCTCTCTTACGTTGTGCAAATAATTGAATCATAATAATACACTTCAGAAATATGAAGATTATTAAAAACTTTCAGCGCAGGGTTATTGCTTTGATTACATTCGGGGTAAGCTTTACGATCCGTTAGAGGAGCAACTTTGCATCGATGTGGCGTTTAATCTCTCGTTTCACTTTTGATTTTATACGTTTTTTTGACACGTTGCCTTTTCTAAAAGTTTTTAGAAGTTTTTAGTTTTTCTAAAAGTTTTTAGAAAATCATTTTAGAATTTTTCTATTAATAATAAAACATTTTTGTTTTTTTTTTTTTATACTTAAAAGAAAAGAATTTTTTTAAAGCTTTGGATTAAGCCGCAGATGATTCTTTTTTATGGGCGACGAGTGTCAGGCACATGCATATTGAAAAATTATATTATTTAATGATTAAAATCGTAAAAAATTCGCAACAATCATTATTATGGATGGCATTGATCTGCAGCGCCTTAGAAGTACAGGTAAGGGGAATAAATAATGAAAGCTCTATTACTCGTTTATAAACTCACTTGAACAGGTATAATTGAGACAACTGGGTCCAGTTTTGAACATGATTATATAAAGAGGATGGCATTGCAATATTTGGAATACACGATGACCAATCGCTTAAAAGTGATACGGAATGTGAATCCCCCGATGCGTGATACTGAAATAGCTATTGAGATGTCAAGGGGCGTGTACAGTTGGTCGTATGAAAAGTTTTTGGCTCGTCGACGTTTCAAACATGTTTGGATCGATGTCCTGATGTGGGAGTTCGACGAGGCCTTATTGGAGCGAGTCAAGTTACACTTTGATTTAAGTGAACTAAACAGATTAGTGGATGTTCTTTTTAAGGCCATGTATGCCTTAGTAGATGGTAAATCCATAGACTTTGGTAAATATCTTTGGGATCCATTCATGTAAGCTATTAATAACGGTCGTCTGTGCAAATATTGCGTTAATTCCTTTTTTCTATTTACGATATGAGCAGTGATGTTCAAACATATCTGACAATAGGCGAGGACTTATGCTCGGAAGCGCAAAGAAATAAATCAAAGGAATTTGAGTATTGTAATTATTTAATGGTCGCTTGGGGTCCCGTGGTGTTACCAATCATAAACGAAACCGACCAAAGATGTGCATAAAAATTCCATTTATAAAACGTATGAAAATGTAATGTAATGTACACTATTTTTTACTTGCAGTATTTGAGGCAATAGAAATGCGTTACCAACTGAATTGGTATCGAAGCGAAGTTAACAAAATGCAACTAAAATATGATATACTTCAAGAAAACTATTTAAACAGCATTTCGCAAGCATTGCAAGCGAGCAAAATGGAAGAGGAGGTTGGCTACAATATTGTAGACGTGATCTACAATGAAACCGAGGTGCCAAACGAATATTGCCAATGGTATATCACACTAATAGGCGTGTCCTTTGCTTGCAGAGTTTTCGAGAGCTTATTACAAACTTTCAAGAGCTATACGACGAGGAGTTGGAAAAGATCGAAGCTAGTATAGGTGCAAGTACAAAACAAATTGCAAAACTAGTAGATCATCATAAATATTTAAGCGAGGAATTAGTTCGATTTCAGGAAGAAATTGCTGCCAGGAAGGCGTTCGAAATAAGACGACGTCAACCACCCTCAGAGGTCTATCAAGTGAGTTTGTTCGTTTTCTCAAACGATTAAACTATAATCACAATTAACGCTTTTTTTCTATAGATTGACTGGGCCGCCATTTACTCGAAAAGCTCTAAAAAGCGCCGCAAAGGCAATAGAAAGAAGAGTAAAGGCTGAGTTTTCTTCGATAAAAAGCAAGCTACAAGATTTAATTTCAAAAAAAAAAAACAGCTTTAGGTTTAAATACGATTCGACAACAGAAATAAATTTGCATGCGGTTTCTAAAAATTTTAAAGTAGTTTTAGATGTAGCTTTGCATTTTGCGGCTTCAGAGTGCAAAATGCCAATTAAATTGACAATGATCAAAGAACCTACATTGGACAATGTAAGTGCTCACCGTTCATGGGAATCTGGAGTTTGAAGCGACATCGTTCAAATTTGTTAAAACTGGCAAAAAAAAAAAAAAACATTGTCCAAGCATATCACAACATAATTTATATATATCTCGACTTTCATCATAAATTTCTACAAATTCGTGTAAAGTCTGACGATAATCCATTCTAGTAGTGGTGTAAGGTATCTTAAGCTTGTGCACATGCAAGTGGAACACTGAAAAGGCTTTAAGATGTACTCGCCCTTTTCTTAGATCGATTCAGAATGAAATGTCAGCTTATCTGTCTACCCAGTCCTCTTACGCCCTTGTAGATTTCAGCCTGGACACAGTAATTTTTGAAATGTTGTGATGGAATTTGTTGCAATCGTGTTTCTGGACTAAAGAAGAAATGGATTAGATTAAACCATTTTTACAATTACTTAACACTTCACGATATAACGTCTCATTAATTAAAAAGTCTCTGAATCTCGAGGAAAGTCGTTGAATACTAGTGCTGCATCGAGCAGCTCAAGATAAAAAATCAGTGAGATTAAAAGTCAAACTGATAGCAGTATAAAATTGGAATAGATCTATAGGCTAGCTGGCTTAAGTGGTCTTTTGCCTGAAAGTAAGAATATTGAAAGGGAACGCAATTTTGCATAGATCCCACACCGCTTATGACATAAGAAGGCGTTAAGTTTGTGCGACCGGGACTTGAAATAGACCTGGCTTTTATTATGCCGATCGATTCAGAAGGTGATTCTGAATTTAGGCTATGTCTGCCCGCCTTGTTTTCTTGTGTTTAACCTACAGACGATTTGACGAAATTCGGTATATTGGCGTGCTTCGGTCCAAGGATGATCTCTATTGAAAATTGTTCGAATCGATCCACTTTGGAACAGACGAACTGAGTGGCAGTGATCCACACATGACCAGACAGATGCGTCATACCTGCTGGAAATCTCGAACGTATGCCGAACTGAGTTTGTTTCCTATCTTTTACTGATTTTCACTTTGTTTGCTACTATAGTGTATGTTATGTGAACGTTGATATATGTTAAATACAAATAAATGTTTATGAAATGTTTGCAGCCATTTCTTATTTACTAGAGGCAAATTATTAAAATTTAAGTGTATATACCATTTGCTTAAATGTACAGCGTGAGGCTATATATGCAACTAAATAGTGTTAAGGACCTATCACCACGATTATCATACAACCGTACATAAATCAGGCGAAACTTGTGGGTATGATTTTTAGTTTGAATGAAAGTTGCATTCTCCTTATGACTATTTCATAAATTTAAGAAATTCTTAATAGGCCTCACAGGATTCGTGGTAAGCCACATATAAATTCTTTTACAAAAGTGGAAATGAACCCAAAAGTAATTGATATTTTGTAGAGGAAATTTTCGGGTGTATGTGTCGTAAAATCGTATCAGCCATAAGGCCGAATATTTTGAAACCCTCCACTTATCTATTGTTGTTGTAGTTTCTCTCGATCCCAGAAATTGTGATGCATTAAAATCATATGAAAACGGTGGACTAAAAGCATACCGCGCCTTTCTTATCTTCTAGCATCTTCATCTATGAGTGTATTAAACAACATATATGGACATTGTTGCCCGAAATAATAATCTTATTAGAACATAAAACCCCTCTACGGATAATACCACACACAAATGAAAATAATACTCTCGAATATATTAGAAAAGACAAGTACGTCATGAGCAACTTAAGATAACAAAAACGCTAGTAACCTAATGGAGAGAAGTTGAATTCTCAAATTTGTCTACTAAGGAATAGCGAACGATGAACGCAGTCAGAAGAAAACTTTGAAGTCGGACTTCCCTTCAACTCATTATATTATCACAAGAAATATAACAATCAAAAGGGTTTATGTATTTACGTAATTTAAGAAATCTTTAACCGAATGTCACATTTGTGTTGATGGATTTAACTTATTTTACATTCATTGGTATTTAAAAGAACTTTAAAGTGATAAGACTAATATAGAATATAATGCATGCGAGGTTCATAAAGTTATCGAAAGTGTTTTCTTTTTTTCCTTTCAAAAATAAACAATTTTCTAAAAAATTCGAGATAAACAATTGATTTTTGATTTGCAGGACTATAGAGCTGCTTAGTAAGTTATTGATTGCCGTACAGTAGAGTCGAACGTTTTGATTTGATCGAATAAAAAATGATCGCGTTTATGAAATTCATTTTTGCCTTGTGTGCTATTATCTGTTGTTTACAGGTAGTTTTGAAAACCTTACAAACATATATATATATATGAATATCTGATACGTATATCTGTACATATATGTTCTTTAATTATATTTTTCAAATTGAAATGATAAAGCTTGTTGAAATGGCTCGTATACGTCGTGATGAGAATCCTGCTGAGGGCGAGTCGGGTAAAGTCGATTTCTCCGAATTTGCAAACAAAATAATGGATGAATTTAAGAAGACTTTAAATAACGAAGATTTACAGGTATTTATAGCATAAAGAGTTTTTATTATAAATGACTAAAAATACAAAATAATTTTTTCGTTTTCAGAACTTTTTCAAAAACGCCCAAGCTAACATACAGGAGGTTACTAAATCCGTTTCAGAATCTGTCTCGAATGCCTTGAATAATATGAAGAAGGAGACCAGCACTTAAGGACTTTTATAGAGCAAATAATAATTTGTTGTTGTTAGCATAATGATAGTGTTAGAAAACTGTTCAATAAAAAAATTAAATAAGTAAATATACTTATAACGAGTTTTCAAAGTAAATGGGAAGTGACCCGTTCGCCCTTTAGTCGAAACACGACAGTGTGCCGCATTATATCAAATTATTTCAAAAACTGCCGGCTGTAGGTTAAACACAAGACACAAAGGCGAGCGGACGAACGGACAAGTTTAGATGGATTCAGAAAATGGCTCTGGATCATCCATCGGTATAATAAAAAATCCATTGGTGCATACAACCATAAAAGGATAATACCATAAGTCGTGTAGGGTATAAAAATATAAGTATCCTAAAGGGAACCTTCTGTTTTTCTCCCCTGCTTACCGTCACATGGTAACGCATTTAAACATAAACGTAAACATATGAAATACAAAACACGTTTTTATTCATATTTTCATTCACTCAGCCCGCCTACACAGCCGGCCTATAAGAGCGTCTATAAATAAACTTAGGAATACGCAAAACAAAAAAAAAAAAAAAACAAAAAAAGAAATAATAAATAATTTGTCTGTGTCTGTGAAAGTATTTATTTATATTAAACTGCCATGAATTCCACTGGAAATTCTCCAGAAGATTGGCTAATATTCGAAACTTTATGTGAGGCCGTTGCTGAGAGAACACCATCGATACAAGTAAGCCTTATAATGTTATCCATTACAAATAAAATAAAATTTAATCGTAATTACGGTATTCTTTAAAATATTTTCCAATGTTACAGCAAAGGTTTTTTTGCAAAAAACTACACAAAATTTATTAAAATCTTTTTTTATTGCCGTTATCAGAAAAGTATTGAAAGGAAATAGTTTGCTTGAGTAAGAGCTAGAACAACTCAGATTGACTCATTACAGCTCTCGGTTTGTAATATTTCGAAAAGACCGAAAATCTTTCGCGCCCGCCTTTCTATTTCCTGTTATCAGCGAACGAGTTTTAAAATAAATCTAATGCTCTTATCTGTTATATCAGGAGAGATGTTAAAAAAGTTGAGAAAAAAGAAAAAAAGGATAAAAGAAACCAACGCCTTCGAAATTACTTTTAACGCATTAAAGACACCACTGATCAAATCGTAAAAAGAAAATCTTTGTTTTTATAGCAACATATAGTTTTTGCTTAAATGCACACAAAGAGTATTAAATACATGAGTATGTAAAGCAAAGTAGATAAAACATTCTCTCACTTTTTAATTTTATAAAATACGTTTCTCCAGATATACTCTAATACATCAACAAATCGTGTTTCCATAGAAAATTTATGCTTTTCCAAGTTCAATACTGAAATATTTAATTTAATAGTTGCAGGGATTCCTAATACGTTTTCCTTTTCCGTCGCCCTTTGTCTTGACTTCCATTTTTTGCTCACAGCTTAAGAATGTGAAATCTTTGTTAAAATTTATCCATACATTTCTACTTGCATTTGTAGTTACATTTATATTTTTCTGAGTTTGTAGCAGTCCGGAACCCGGAACACATCATAGACATTAACTTCCAAGTGGATTTAAACAACCTATTTGTTATGTCCATTTTACGGTCAGTAGTAGGTCTCTGTGGCCTGTGGTCTCTGGCACTTTATCAAATCACCGTCAAATTCTAAAATTAAAAGCTTTTGTCGTTAATTTTGATTGTAGAAAATTAGTTTATAACTAAGATGGTCACGATCGGTCCATAAAAGCTTCTACAACAACCAAAGTGATAAATTCACAAAATGATCGCGCTTGACAAGCTAACATACTTAGAAGGAATGAAATACTTTGGAATATTTATGTGCAGATAATGGGTTTGCACGGCTTCATGTAGAAGACATGTATCGCATTCTTAATTCTGGGAATAGCCCCCTGTCTTTTTAATACCATTGCTAATAAAAATTGGCTTTTGTTCGTTTTTAATTTTTTAATTGAAACACTTAGCGTTTGCAAAAAATAGATCAGAAGGAGTTTTATACGGAGCATGTTGAACTCCATTTTCTATATTGGCAGTAATATTTGGGTATTTTTTATTTTTATACTCTACACCATTTCCGATACAAAGATATAGTATCTTCGTGCGGATGTATGTAGCACCCAAAAGGGCTTGGCATGGACGCGCCTTAAACTTCACCGATTTAGAGTCACTTCAGAATCATTTTCCAAATCGCTTTGTTTGTCCGGCTATTCGTTTTTTTTTTTGTTTTCAATCTACAGGTTAATAGGGTACACCGGTGTATATATGGCCCAAGGACGAACGACACGGAAAAAGCTCACATCGGACCGCTTCTCATATAAGACTTTATTTTGGATATTCGTTACACAAAGTACTGTACTAAGCGATGCAGTGCAGAATGTGTAATGGTAGGCTGTGCACCATTATAGGCCATGATGTCGAAAGTTTTCGACACGACATGCCCTTTCGACAATGGCCCTCCGATTTTACTAAAAAGTTCGGCGCACGCTTATTCACTTGCTTAACTACCGAACTAAACCAAGATTGATTTTATGACAGTCCAATATTTTGAAAAATATTTTCAAATGTTTTATTTAAGATTTTTCTACTTGCGTTCGCCCGTTTGACAGCTTCAATTCGGAAATTCACACAAACATATATATGAGACAACTTCTAGGTATCCAAATCAAATTTTACAAACTCTAATGGCGGACAAATGGAAAGACGTGACCAAATCGATTTGCCTGTCGAGGGGAAATCATTTCCTTTTCCCCTTTTTAAATTTGTGTATTCATCATTGATCCAAAAGGTTCCTCTAATACTCTCCTCTCACTTTCAAAAAATTAATTTAAACGGTGTAGCGTAATGTACGTAGACTGACAGCCGTCAGGCAGTTAAACAGACAGACATTCTACAGCAAAAGGTGAAGTTATCGCAATTCGTTCTCGAATCTGTTATTATATATAATTCCAAGTGACTTAATGTGGAAGGTTTATGCACTTCGAACAAGTTTTTCTGTTTACATGCTTCAAATCTCAATTAATCCACAATTTCCGTCTCTTTATTGTTGTGCCTTAAACATGCTTTCTATCAGTATTATAATGAAAAGTCTTTGGACACACTATAAATGTACCGATAACCCCATCGACAATAGCGACGAGAATTTTGCTTTTTAATGCTTTGGCAAGTGAATGACCCAAATATGTGTAGCCGCAGTTATGCATGTGGGCACGCACACATGTCCATACACAAACGCAAGCATCGATAGCAAAGTTTGTTGCCATTGAGCTCAATTTTGCTTTCAAAAAAGTTTGATGATTTATTTGTTGATTTGTTGAAAGAAAGGATATAAAATTCCTAAACTTAGTTGTGTTGTTGTTTTGTTTATTAAGGACATTGTTATGTTGCGATAGCGAACACATTGGTAACACCATAGTTTCCATATACTGAGGCGACAGTGAATGTTTGTCGGAAACTATTGCTGCGCTAGGAAATTAGTGCGATTTGATAAATAGCGCCTGAAAGACTAAATTCCATTTTACAGTAACGCGAATGCCGAAAGACAGTGAGCATAACGCACATCGTACTCATTACCATCACTGCAATGAACATATTGAGGGTTTGTCACCGCACCACCACCATCATCACCATCATCATCATTTGGTACATAAAACGTGAAATAAGCACAAAGCATATAAAGAAAATTATGAATTTTGTTGCCTCTGCTCTAATGCGTTTACAAAGAGCAAGAGAGAGAGAGAGAGAGAGAGAGAGAGAGAGAGAGAGAGAGAGAGGGAGGAAGATTAAAAATGTCTCCTCTCTTTCCAAGATTAATTTCTACACCTTTCTTATACTTACAAGTTTTCTTTTTAAATCCATTATCAACAGTTGGACGGTAACTGTGACAACGGTAGTCCCTTAACCTACGATGAAGGTCATCAGGCTCATCATCACAATATTGACCTGGTTACCGCATTACGTAGCGAGTTGGCCGCCTTATCTTACCAAAAGGATCGCCTAAAAACTGAGGTTAATTCAATATTAATTCTTAACACATATTTTACTTAACGCAGAAAATTATTAACAGTTAACCGAAACGAAGGCCACCTTATGTAGCAAAGACAACGAATGTGAGAATTTACGAGCGCAAGCAGCTCGACAATCTACTCTTATAACGTCCCTACAATCCCGTTTACAAAGTGCCGAAAATCGTGAGGAATCAGTTCAGCTGCGTTGCGATACCACCGTGCAAACAATACAGCGGGAAAAACGCTTAGCCGATGAGAAAACTAAAGACTTGCAAATAAAAGTTCAACATCTTGAAACTAGTTTGGCTAACGAAGAGTCACAGAAAGAATTGATGCAGAATCGATTTAATGATTTCCTAAAACGTCTTGGCCTCTGCATGGATATGGAAGTTTGTGAAAGCGTTCACTTTAGTACGGAATGTGTGTTAACGCGGTTGGAAGAATTAGTAGCAGAACTGCAACGCACTAAAGCTAAAATTACTGCCACTTGTGAAACGCTGAATAGTTGCGAGAACGAGCTTTTGAATTTGAAAAGTTTTTCGAATATGGAGAAACAACGCCTAATGGTTCAATTGGAAGGTGCTAACAATCATGAGCATGAATTAGAGTCACGTTGCCGTCAATACGAGCGGGATTTACAAATTCAAAGAGATCGGCTTACTGAAGTTGAAATTTCAGCCGAGAAATTGAAGGAAGAGTTGAAAGGTTTTGAATCGCGCTGTCATCGCCTGCAGGGCAATTGTGAACGTGTACAAAATGATCGCTTACAGTTTTTACGCACATTGGCCCTTCAGATTAACGTTCCCGAACCCTGTGAAACTCTCATCAAGGATAAACTTAGAGAAATTATGTCAGAAAACAAAAGCTTGCAAATGGTAAAACATACTTACATAAAATGCCGCTCCACGCTGTAAAGTCGGTCAGGGCCGACTATTAAGCGCCATACATTACCCCGCCTAATACAATGCGTCATCTACCATTGTCATATTAGCTGCCCTTCATTTGCGAAGATGCATTAAAAATAATCCTTCCCACAGCGAGTATGTACGCCAAGGCGTTACATTATGCCGATAATCTCTCTAAAATTCCAAAAATTCGAACTTTTATTATTATTTTAAAAAAATTTACATGGAAGATCGAACAAGGGTCCATCCATTCATGAATGTTAAAATTGAAAACGAAAAACGAAGCTTTTTTCATAGAACGAAGTTCTCAAAATGGGGACTAGTCCTAAAGGTCGTCTGATCCAACATGTTTTCAGTTGCGTTCGTTCTTCATTTAAAACTTGTCAGTATGCCAAAAAGAAATTTGTTGAAAATTATACGAACATAAGAATTCATAGAGAGACAACGGTTGGGGAGAGGAATAACTTAATAGGCCTTCACCATTAATGCTGTAGCATATAATTAGCACAACTTAATTTTTCCCCTAACTGCACAGGAACTTCATGGATTACGGGAGCAGCTCTCTTGCCAACATGACAAGCTCAAAGAAACGCAACAAAGTACACAATGTCGCTTGCGTAGTGAAGAGGCGCGAAAATCTGAACTGGAAGAACGTCTCGAAAAGTGTCACGAAGAGATTCACATTTTGCGTAAAGATCATTTGGGTCTATCGGAATATCTTTTGCGTTTGGCTAAAGCTTTGCATTGGACTGAATGCTCATCACCCCCTGAATTGGGCATAGATACCAATATAATGGCTGAGAGTTTGTTAGAGAGAGCAGAACGTTTAGCGTCTTTGCATCACGACTATGATCATTTACACAGTCATCAGCATCATCTACATCGTTTAGCCGATCGAGTGAGATTTTGCACGCTGCTACCGGGGATAGCTTCATATATTTTTTTTTTTTTTTAATTTTTTAGTCATGTTGCGATCACAATCATCACGGTCATACTCACCCACATACTAAACTCAGAAGAGAGAAATCTTGCCATGATTTGCCAATTAAGGATACACCAAGCACTTTATATAATCTTCAAAGAAAGGTGCGTGTTTTGAAGGAACAAATACAACGACGGGATTTACATTTAGAATTGTTAAAACGCAAGTTGGCCATTATTGAAGACGGAGCCAGAGGTAAATGTATTTTGCAGGTGGGTAAAAATACATCGCTAGTACCTACTTAGCCGTAAATATTGCTCAATGTAGGGTGAACGTGATGAAGCGGTTTGTCGTACCAAAAAGGCCAATAAAATCATTGATAAACTCACATGTCAACTGGCAGATGTTCGGTCTCAAGTCGCAGAAGTCAAAGCACAATTAGCCGAAGCGGTAGAATATAAGATAACCGCTCTGGAGAGAGCTCGTAAAATAGATGAACTGACTACGCAGTTATGTGACTTGGAAGAAGAGAAAACCCGTCTCTCAGCCCAAGTAAACACTTTGAAGGATCGATTGAAGGCATCCAGTGACTCGGCACAGCACAGAAGATGCCGTGACGAAGCTTTGATAAATGTGAGTTTGCTTCAGAGTTTGCTTGTTTTATAAGATTGAAAATTTTTCCCTTCAGTCGTTGCGCGACGACTTGACCCACGTGCAAGCGCAAATATCCGATACCAATCATCGCCTGTCTCAATTGCAATCGTTCCGCACTTCCGTAGCCCGGACTTTACATCTCCGCGATTTACCTGAAACTGATTTATTGCATCGTTTGCAAGCTTTATGTGCCGCTCATCAGGAATTCACTATGCTTTCTAAACGCTACGAGACAGCCTCTCCCTTAGGTGAGCATGCTTGTACACGCTTTGATGATCGCCTGCCGAACAATACTCACTATCATCCACCACATTGTACACCAACGCCAAATTCAACAACTCTACACGGTCATCGGGGCTATCACTGAGGTATGGGAAGCAACGCGATTTCATAAAATATTTTTAAATCCAAAAAATTGTTGTCAAAGTAAATGAGTTATAGAAAGTATTTATATTTTTGTCTATGTCTTATAATATCTTTCTTTAATATCTAACACAAATCGTTTTTGTGAGCCTAAGCTTGAATAATGCGTACAATTATATAAGAAAAGAAGGCTAAAGGTAAGACACATATATCAGAACACTATAATCAGAATTCTTTTTACGTGTCACTACTACTTCAGAAATAAAAAACCATGAAAAAATCATAAGCCTTTTTAATAAAAAACAATTCAGAGAATTATTTTCGGTAGTGACCGAATCTTTTACGCCCATCACCGTTGTCCTAATAAAGACAAAAAAGGTAAAAGAACTATATTTTCAAGCTCTATAGAAAAGAGGGAGCGCGGCTGATTTCTTCTGTTTTCAAAATAAAAATATTTGTCGCATAGGCGTGTGGACTTGTTTTACAACTAGGACATCATATGAGACAATTTTACAAAAGTCGTCCGATTCGATTCAATAGGATTCAGCCTTGGACTGAAACAGTGTGTAGAATTTTATCAAAACTTCCCAGACTTTGCGAACTACATGGAAAGACATCACATAGACAGATGAACAGATCAGAGTAAATCGATTCAGAAAATGATATAAAACTTTATTTTGGGCTGTGCTCACTCTGGATGGTTTCGAATCAGACGCCATTAACATTTTTACCCATTTCCATGGCATGCGAAGTAGATACAGTTCAGTTTTAGATGTGTTCTCTGGAGAAGATGGAATGGGCAGGGGATGAGCGGCTTGGGTAGCCAAGTTTTTTATTTGAATTTATCAAGTCGACACTTAAAACACCTACTACTAAATTTCATTACTTTATACGAAGTCTTTGGATTCAAGCTACCGCATATTCCTTTGCGAGTGTATTTTTCAAGCACAAAAATGTAGAACATTGCGAGTGTCTTATATAAATGTAATTTAATATTTTAATTTTCTATTATAACCTAAGAGTAATTTTATATACATTTTATTTTAATATATAAAAGAAAAAAATAATGATATGTGTATACTTTGAACATTGAGGAGGTTCAATAAAATCATTTTTCTTAATTTCCTTCAACATTCTAGAATGATCGTTGCCGTAAGTCATTCTACATAAATGTGTCATCAGAAAGTCGACGATTTCTGCAACGCTAAGCCGGCAAAACATTGAAGAGACTCGTATAACAAGAAATGAGATAAAAAAATGTATGAATACATTTTTACACATTCCCCCCTTTCCTTCTGCTATGAAAAAATACTTTTATTATTTAACGGGAAAAATTGTAAAACAAAATTTAATGTCTTAAGCCTGGTACTTGCCGAAGGTTATTTTACATAAAACAAAGCTGTGAATTGCTCTCGTATTTGTATAATCTGATTGAGTCGCACAGATTTACAAATTTACATACCATGTAACGAAAAAAATTTTATATGTGACAACACCCGCCTCATCGCGCATTATATCGTACGAAATATCTACGGCTGGCAAGGTCAGAAAAACAACAACACCAACGCTACAGCTAATTTTTCTTAGATAATTTGGTCCGTTAGATAATGTTAGATGAAGTTTTTACACTTCGAAAAACCAGAGACCTCTAGTAGGCGATAGATGATTAAGTAGACGTACAATTGTATTTATCAAAGACATTCGTGGGTAGCATTTGAGCTGTAGCAGAGAAACGAATAACTTTCCTAACAAACATGTAAGTCTGCTTAAAATTATAAAAGCATTTTGGGGGATTCTTTAGTTTATACTATAGCCTACATTACTACATATGTATGGGAAATGATGAGATAATTTTAATATTATATTTTTAATAATAACCAAACACTTTTAATAAAGTTAAAAAGTTATTTATATATACATGTTTTAGTATACTTGTTGCTTTCCCATTTTAACAGAATTCCTCACGATGTAACAGCATTTCTTACACAGCTTCGTCATTTTAATAGAATTTCTTACGATTTAACAGAATTTCTTACACGGCGTTGGCAACGTCGTTTCATATAACGATGATAAAGATTTTTTATTGACCATTGACCATTTTTCTTATTTATTAAAAACAACTCTGTGCTAACGGTTTTTTAACCAGAAATATTAATCGCACGTTAAAGTTTATTATATTGGAAATATTTTTAAAAGTGTTAACAAATATGCTTTTAATAGCCAGAACTTGGCGTTTGTTCCCAGAAATGAACACTTTTGGAATTGGATTGCATCACTTTTATGACCAATCCCCTTATAAAGCCCTTTTCAAACCACTCGTTCTATGAAAAAAATTGCAATATTCAAAATAGCTCGATAAAAATCGCTGAGTAATACGATTTCGGCAATGCTAAATTGATGCAAAGGTATAGATGGGCCGCAGCGATTCATTGAAACTCTTTCTATACAACCGTTCGCGCAAAAGCTAAATATTTATAAGCTAATACCGACTAATGTTTCATTTGTTGAAGGGGGAACGCGGCCTTAGTACTAGCTAGACATAGAAATGAACTATACCATGTGTGTGGATATTTTGCTCATGATACTTATGACAGGTTGGGTCTAATAATTTGTTCTCTGAAAACAATTATTAATTTTGATAAATTTGCACTCCGTCCGTTCACGTTCACCTTCGAGTCCTTTCATAAATAGACTGGCTTTAGTAGAAAACAAGATGTAATCATTGAAAATAATTAAATAATTACATTAGGCGAAGTGATGTAGGGTATCTAATGATTAGCCTTACCCGACAACGCGACTGATGGCTGCAGATAATATTCCAAAATTGGTTACAACTTGACAATGAGCAAAAACTACAAAGGATATATATTGCAGACATTAATTCGATATAAATATTTACAAAATGAATGAACATGCCTTAGAAAATGTGGTAAAAAAAATATTCTGATTGGATATTAGCCGATATTGACATCCGCTTCAAAACCAATAAAACTCCTTAGTTGTTTGAAAAAAAAAACATAATAAAAGTTAGATGGGAGACATTAGCATTGATAGGTTTTTTTTATTTTTTTTTAAATACATTATTTATATAGACTTTATTTTCATGCAGAAAACTTTGTGATTTTATCTAAACAATGTTGATTTCTGCTTTCTTACCTGGTTTTCTGACCTGTTACTAACTTATTTGGCCTTGTTTAATATCAATTTGTAGAGTTAATATAAAATAGATGTAACCTTATAAATTTCCACCAATACGGTAAGGGTGATCCTACAACTTCTGTATTGAAATGGAAAGATCGGCTACCTTGAACTAATATTATAAGATATCGAAGTTTCATTTTTTTGTTTTTTTTTTTTTTCTCAAAGAAACCATGGCGGTGGCCACAACCAATCCTTTTACCAACCATAGTGAGTAATTATTACATCCTTTTTATGGGGACCTAGGGATGGTCGTCAACCGAAGCTTTGATCTCTTTATTACTGGCACGTTTTTGGACGATGATTAATTTTTTTTTTTTTTGTTTTTCCTCCGAAAGGGCGAACAAAATTTGATAAGTAGAGTGCAAACTGCAAAATTTTGATTTCGATTTCCGCGGTAACGAATTTGCCAATCGGCGCACTGCCTTGGCATTCGTTACAGTAACGTTTGTAGGCTCGCACCCAAGAAACGGATCTCCCTAAGGTACAATCTAGTGAACTGAGGCCTCTCCCACCGAAGTGCACTCTTGCTACTTTTAAGTAAAGTTATCTTTTTTCAAACGATAAATGCGATCAATAGGTCATGTCGAGGGCCGTAGAGAACCGTGTTACATGGGGAAGAATACCAATCGTACACCCAGTGACGTATCCAGCACATAATATTATTATTATTGTAGCTAATTAAAGAACTACATTTTCTTTGCTCAGTGCTAATAGATAAGAACATGTAAAGAAGCAGAGGTATTGAGTAGCAGAAAGCTTGCCTGTTGGCTAAAGAAATATTCTATTCGCAATCTAAACGACATCAAAAAATATTTTCTGTTTTTGTCCTAAAAGATACGATGGTTTTTAAGCGAAGTCATTTGACCCGCCAATGGGACGAACGGATGCACATGAAGTGTTAATACTTAATTCATTTGTTGCATTTGTTTCGTTCATTCTATCAAGCTTGTAAAGGTGATACTTGCCAAATAGAGTATTCAATGTCTACGTTAGACGATAAACACATATTTAATGCATCTAAAAAGCGATACATACACACACAAGTTTTTTGAACTATTGTTAAATGAATTAAAAAAATCGGGTCATTTGGTTGACATAATCGACTAGCTTTGATTGAGATCCTGTCGTTGAACTGATATAATTAAAAATATAATTTAAAAGTATTCAAGAGCACAGTAAGTGCAACGTTCTATTTTCAGGTAATACATTAGGTAGGATGGAAAGCAAACGCCAAAGTAAGTTAAGACGTAAGAATGTTTTTTATATAAAACGCATACTATACGCCATTGCATATGTTAGGTGATGATGTATCGTATTAAGAACAAAAGAGGTAAGCAGAGAGGTAGGCAGGTGTTTTCAGCATAAGTTGATTTTAAAAATGTTGTGTTTTTAAATAATTCACCGCAGACCGCGTACCAAAAATTTTCGTATGCAAGTATTTTGGTCTTACCATTGAGACATATCCCGGTAAGGTAAGAGATTATGTAAGAGTTTTTCTACAGGCTCTGATTATCAAATGGATTTATAGTTTCAACCTAACCATGAATTTTGAATAAGAGGATCCAACGGTTATCATTTAGTCAGGCTGTTGTTCTTATTTGAATGTAATATTGTAATAAAGCGATACTCTACGCAAGAGTCGTGAAGATTGTGTTAAACTTATGTAAGGAGATACTTCCAATCCAAAGCCGTTTTTTTTTTTGACTAACACAGGTAACAGTCGCCAAATGAAATGAACTGGCAGACGATGTCATGCGGTTGTGCGGTTCACAGCACTCAAGGCCAAGAACGGAAAGAGATTTTCTAAGTACGTTTTTCTATGTAGTGGCGGCAGCGCCAACGCGCTTGCATGAAGACACACACAGACACATACAGACACACACAGCTCTTTCAGCTATTTTAGATCGTAAAGGGCAAGTAATATAAGTCAATCTTAGATCTAGAAGGCAGGTCTCGAAAATGGAGGATTATTTTGGCCCTAATACTCATTATGAAGAAGTGTTTCGCTAAGTTCACTTATAGATTATGAGTAACTCCTGCGAAACGTTGCATGGCACCATATGTGCCCAGCATAATAAAATTATCGACCAATGAAAACCCTGCTAAAACTGCAGAATAGATTCCCATATATAATTCTTGAGACGGTTTGTCAGCTTCAGTTCGTCATTCAATAACCTAGAGAAGTGCAAAAATTAGCTCTATGGCTTTCCCTATCAGGTCGCACGCTTCTAAATGAAACCGTATTGGTATACAAGTTAAAAAGCTTTGAGTTGGTTCATATTGAGGTTCGAATTGCCAGAACGTGGCCCCAGGTCGCCAGAAAAATCGATAAACTAGAAATAACGGTAAAGAATTCTACTGGGTAGGTTTACGGCTAACAATTTTTACTGCAACCGACATTTCGCTAACAACCTATAAAGCATTGCTATAGAAACGTTAACCCTTTCTTGACGGCTCTCCACTACCATAATTTATCGTCAATCTGTACTGGCAATGGATCGTTAAAAGAAATGACTGCAGTATACAGACGAAGTCAGCCGCTGTCACGCAACTATTGCACGCCATACGTCAAATGAAAGTTTTAATCAACTTCATCTTTTGCCTACAAATATCGAACCTAATCTCAAAATTAATCAGTTATTTCATCGGAAGAATTCACAAACCCTTACTAAATAGCTTGACTTTAGAGTTTGTTCGACTTTTGTTAAGAGCCTACACATACTTCCAATTTAATGGCAGTAGAATACATTTTACGTAGGTACGTTTTCTTGTTAAAAGTGGCGCTTTTCGATAAGTGGACCGAATAATGCCGTTATGGGTGATTTTTATAGAGTATTGCTTGAAACGAAAGGTCAGAATTAATGAAGAAAGCATAAAATGTGAAGTGATTATACTCATATTCGTCTCCCGTCCTTCGCCCACTTCTTTTCTCAGTATCAGTCTACTCATCGTTTAACCTTATGATGCCATAAACTTAAAATTTTAATTAGGAAATATCTGCTTGTCATAGTGAACCTAAACTTTCGTATGCATTGGCCACTAACTCCCGGGAATTTTCAGAGTTAACCGATCTCCGAATTAAGATATTTGCGTGTTGGTTTTCCTGAGATCCTTCTTTCGGGTTACCTTGCAAATCAAGCTGCTACTGAAATTAATTGTCCCTAACTAAATGAAGATTTTTCCTCCTTCGTAATCAGTTAACGCTGGATAGCAAAAATTCAATCTAGGCTGCATTTTCTCTTTTATTTTTCTTCATTCATTATTATTCATATTCGTTAAGTGCTTCATGACAAATCCCGAGTTTCAACTCGATCCTGTTCGCTTTTGAATAGAAACGTTTCAATGAACTCATCGTATAGTTTATCCTTTTCTTTTAGATTTCGCTCATTTTTGATGTCGCCCAACAACGTTAATAACTCGAAATAATTCTCCTCCTTCTCTTTAGCGTTTATTAAAGCGGCAGTTAAAACGCCCGAAGCGTTTTGAAATTCTTGCATAAATTTCAAGTACAAATTATCGAAATCTGTTAAGTTACGTGATTCGTTAATAAATTCTTTCGAAATTAATTGAACTCGAAATTCGGACTTTTCTAAATTGTGAAGTGAACGTAACTTCTCCATTTCTTGGCCTTCGTGACGGAAAAGTTGTAACAATTTTCGCTTTTCAGTGTAATTGTAATTATACTTTAAGGCTTCATTCACTTTTGTGATGTAATCAGATATCAACGTTTCGACCGCTACGGTTAGGTTTGCATCTATTTGCTGCGAAAAATTCTGGAAAATATTGCGTGTTTTCATTAAAGCCTTATTGGTGGTATTTAAAACCAGACTTTCCATATAATCTATAAATTCTTGCACTTGAACATTTCGTTCGTCTTTAATGCCAGTCGACGATATCTGAAAGGTATTACAATATTTTTCCATTTATTAAACGCTATAAATTTCTGCGATAAGTTTTTCTTTTTTTCTTTTGCATCTTAGTTACTACGCTCATATGTAGTAATGTATTAACTTGGTCATTCGATTTGCAACATTTCATAGTAAACTTTTCCTATTTGCTGCCTATAAGGAGGAAGCACTCATATAAGGGAAGATAGGAAACTAAGATTGGGCGCTCAAAACTAATTAGTCGGAATCTGTAACGGACGTGTCTTCAAATACACATCAAAGCGTTTTAATAACTAAACCACATCGGTCGGTTTATGCCAATGCGTATGCAAGCGTTTTGTAAAAGCCATTACACCCTTAAGTGCCCTGAGCTTTTTTTCTCTGATTTATTTGCATTATTGCTTCCAATGATCTATACTGTCTCAGAGGTTAGTTGAGTTTCCATTACCCAATCAAAAGTCTTAAGTGTTTGGTAACGAAAATTCGAATCGATGCAATTGAGCTTTTTAACATATTTGCTCTTTCAAATAGTATCTATTACGTACCTGTTGGTTTAAGCAGCATATCGCTAGTGTGCACCAGATTAATTTCAGTGTCGTTTTCTTGCTTGATACTGACAAAATAAAGTGTGATAGTCCACACGTCGTCGTTGCTGTTATTACTCTATACATTGTCGTCTGCGTGTATGGCTGCTATATGTATATGTATATATATATATATATATATTGAATATAACTTATATGAATTTTCTAAATGTTCTTTCTGGCTGATTTGTTCTTGAAAGACTGACAACGCACTCTCAAGAATAGCAGGTATTTGCGTACTTATACACCAATACCTTTCTCATCTCTGATAGTCAGCCCAGGCTGTCAGCTTGAATTTATTTATATCAATACACATTCGTGCTAACATGACTGTATAATGGTTCTGGTTGCCCGAACGCAAGTTAGTTAACGTAATCTCTAAACAATATTTCTCGGTTTAAAACTCATCTATAGTATCTTCAGTAATCTAAAACCAGAAAAAGAAAAAAATAGAGAGAGAATAACAAACCTAGAACGTATCGATATGCTGTAAAGAAGTGTAACACAATTTTTTTTCTATATACCCATCACAGGCTCATGCGAGGTATATTGATTTTGTCGAAACGTTTGCAACGCAAAGGAAGCATCAGAGCCCCACAAAGCAAACATCTCAGCATTGATCAGCGTCAAGTTCTGAATGGATTTTGATGTTCCTCTGTCCCTCGGTCCGCCTATCTGTTTGTGTAATGTCTGTTGTAAACATTCGCGTGGCAAGAAAAATTAAACGATCGAAAACTAAGCTCATTGGAGGTTTTTGTACGCAGGCTGATCTTGAAAATTGGCCAAATCGGTCGAAGGGCACGTCTACAACAACACGAAAACTGACAACACATAGGTTTTTCAAAAGGAATAAAAAACTAGTTTTTACCTCATTACTTGTAAACAGATACAGACAAATGTACAAAAAATTGATCCTATGGACGAGCCATAAAAATTGCAAAACTTATGCACGCCTACCCAATACCACAGTATGTGAACACTAAACTTTTTTTTTGAAACGCGCTTCAAAGGCCCCATCGAGTAAATAAATTCTTGGCCAGTTTCAAATTCGGAATGTACCTAGAAATGTCCGTCTGTTTGACTGTCCATCTGCGTAGCATTTATGTAAACGTTCTCTCGTCCGCAAATATGAAGACAATGTCTACAAATTTGGCGAATAATTTGAAAATGACCCAAACCGATCAAAGGACACACCTACAATGCCCATACGCTTGTGCAACAAAACTGTAAACAGCTTTGTTTTCCCTCTTCTTTGTTTATTACACACACATAACACATAAATATATACCATATATATAATCGCTTTTGTTCTGAAATTAAATTCTTTTCCTTTTTTTATCTTCTTTAGGATGGTGGTGATGGGTATAAAAGATTCGGTCACGACCGAATATAATTTTCTTCTGTTGCTTGTATTTTCTAAACACATTTGCAAAGTATTTGCATTGTCGTTCTTTTACTTTTCTTCAGTAAACTTTCATTTTTCACAATACGAACACAATCCATTTACTGCTGTCGGTATTGCTGTAGGTTTTGGTATGCATTTTAAAAGACAAAAACTTTAAGCACATTGTGGTTATCGATAGTTTCGTTTGATTGGACTTCTGGCTTGGTTTAGAAATTTACTTCCGTTTAATAAATAAATGATTGAGCAAATGAAATGTAAAGGTACAGATAGTGTCAACCTAACGAGAACTTGGTAGGAAAAACCACATATAACAAAAAAAAAGAAAAAAAAAACCTTACGATTTCCTGGGAAAATCTACTTTATTTCATTTAGTTTGCGGTTTTCGCAAGTCACATTGACATCCGATTAATTTATTAAATAGTTTGTGCTTAGAATATATATAACTTCTTAATCGATCTAAGAACGGGAACCTAATTATTTATAAATAAACGTAAAGACAGATGAGAAGTTTCTCATCAATTGCTTCAATTTTGCGTCTGTTCAGTATGCTAGGTGTCCATCTGTCCGTCTTCTTGTCCTTATTGCAAAATCGAAGATATTTGCTTCGAACGTGGCAGAAAACATTGCAAGTTGTTGCATGCGGATAGATTTAAATCAGTCAAAGGATACGTGCAGTGCAACGTAAAGTCAGAACACCTCTGCTTTCAATAGCAAAATAATTAGTGATATAATGACGCAATAAACGTTTGCATTGTCCATTTTAATATAAAGATGGTGGTTACAAAAGACTCGTCCGCAGCCCGATCTAATTTTCTTGCTATTTAACGTTGCCTTAGATTAAGTCTCTCAGCTTTTGTAGATGTGGGATGTTATGTGTTATGGAGCTTTGTAAATTTTGTCTAGTGAAAATTTCCCAAGGGTGTACGAGCCAACTTTAAGATATATCTTTTTGTTTGCCTCTTTTGACTTCGACAAGAGTGGTTAAGTATGGACTAGGCATCTCATGCTGCGTGAGGAAGAGTGTTACGGATGTTATATACATAATAATAGGTCGAGAGCAATATGTGCCGTGGTCATGATATTCGGTTTAGCATTTTTCTAGCATGACTTCTGGCTAAGGGAAGAACTCAGTGTGTAGTCAGTCGTAGATGTTTCTCTTTTCTTAATTAACGCTACAAGCGTTGCTATATTTTTAGTTATTATACCAAATCAAGAAATGCTCACAAAAAACTTCTCGTCAAAAGAAGAATTCAGAACTCACTTCCCTTCTCTTAAAAATTATCAAGAATTCATTTAATTAATTTCTGAATTGAAGTTTAGTCTTTATATCCCGATTTAGTTACCCAATTTTTCTTTTTAGACTTCATATCGTCATTTTTTCTTTCCAAAGTTTGCAGACTATGACTTCGATTCCTGCGAAGCATACTAGTGCTCTTAAAGCTTAACTTCCCTTTTTTGTCCATATTAGTTTGTATTCTTTTCTAATAGTGATAGCGAAAGCGGTATCCGTTTGAGTAGCTGAGTGGGCAAGAATCAAAGTCAATATTCGTGGGTTTAACACTCAGTATGGTGGAATTTACTTTCGTCGTAGCTATAGTGAATACCTAGTCGTTATCAATTGAGCTCACACACACACACACGCACACGTACGCACGTACTAGACTGTAGCTTGCTTATCTCCCTATCGCTTTCCTTTTCCCCACTTCCTTCTGACAGTTACCATACTACCACATGTATAGGGGACATCCTTTGATTAGTCATATTAAAAAAAAGAAAAGGAAGAAGCGAGCGTACACGAGCGGAAGTGGCAAGTGAAAGAAAGGCATTGAAACTGCATAAACTCTATATTCCGAGTGTGCTTGCACACAGATCAGATACATATTTCTTACCTTGAGTTTCTAATTACTTACTCAGCAATTTTAGCAACTTTACAAATATTATGGATTAAATTGTCCCAATTTGGTAGAAACAGTTATATGGTCAGTTAAAATAAAAACTAATTCCAATATTTCCAAGTTTTTTATATATATGCGAAAGTTATCATAAACTTTTGGTCCTTTAGGTGCTTCATAACCCCTTTTTTGAAAGCTCAAAAACTGAACGAAGCCAAACTGACTCGTGCGGTTAATTCTAATACGAAATGATCTGCACGAACTTCGCATGAGAAAATTCGATTACACAAGAAATTTGCGGTCGACGTCTCTTTGAGAGCACATATAGCGATTTTCTTCATTTATTTATTTATTTACTTAATCTGTTTTTCTTTCTTGCCGTAGCAGTGATTAACTGCCGTAAAGCAGATTAATTCTCCTATAGTAGAAGAAATTAGTTATTTTATTTATTTTTTTTTTTTTTTTTTGGATGAATCGAGTTGCCTATCGCTAAATGTTGCAAAGATAATAAAGCAATGAGCGGATCGTCATATTCTTGTAAATTTGTCAAAAAAAAAAAAAAAAAAAAAAAAGAATCCATTTCATGCTTTATTACAACAAATGTATAGAGTTATATAATAGCTTGCCTTTAGAATATGTCGGTATGTCAACCATTATTATTGTAAGCAGAATTTTATCGATTTGAATATATTTGTATGCAGAGTTCACAACACTTATTGCTTGAAATAATCCATTCAGAACGATAAACATGTATTTCTATGCAAATATAGATACATTTAAGAGTAAGATAACATACGCATACATGCATAGAGTGGTAAATAATCAGAAATCTCTATCCGTTCATTCTTAACAAAAGCATTCATTAGAAACATTCAAGGAGACAGACATCATTAAACATTCACACTGACTAGGCGGAGAGGGACATAATGGATACATTTACCGATAGATTAAAAAAAGGCAAAAATACTTCGATCTCTTTTCTATGTTGGATAAAAAAAAAAAAAAAAAAATGTTCAATTATATGTAAATATGAAACGATGTGGGATTGCAATGTAAATACAAAAAAGATGTGAAGGATGTGTAGGAAGGGTTCTCCAAAGGGTTCACCTAAGTAGATTCAATGTCTTTTTATGCGAAGAGAATTCATTTTAACTT